AGTCAAACAGGTTGTAAAATCGAGTCAGACAATTGCCTCTTGATAGCCAACGAACTTCAGTATGAAACAACAAACGGTTGAAACCTTCGTCATTAGTAACACAAAGCTGATGAAATAATCTATCATTCAAAGAGCTGTTACGGATTTTATTGACTGCTTTGTTGACATATTGCAGTGATTGAAATAGTCGTTCACTTAAATTTCTAGCAACCAAATGTTGTCTACGAATAACGCAATATACAGTAAGGACATCTTGAATTTTTTTTTAAGTACGCTATGAAGCCTTTATGGCACCCTGTCATAGCCGGAGCGCCATCCGTAGCAACTGATATAATATTTTTCAAGGGAATCTCTTTCTCATCACAAAACTTTTCCAATGTATTGAATATGGTTTCGCCTTTAGTATCGGTCTGCAAATTTCTAGCAAACATATTTTCTCATCTTTAATAAACCTCACGTAAGACAGCAACAATGCTTCATTAGTTGGTAAAGTGGACTCATTGAGCAGAATTGAGAATTGACTAGTCCTCAGATTATTGCACAATGATCCTTCAATGTTTTCAGCTATTTCATCAACTCGTCTTTGCACAGAATTATTACTCAAAGGAATTTTTGGGATTATACCCCCAGCCGGTTTATGAAGCACAGTAGTTATTACTTCCTTTATTGCTGGCAAAATTAACTCTTATCAGATGTTGTCTGGTTTGAGCAATTAACAAAGAGATATTGTATGAAGCTCGAAGTCCGTCGTTATCTTGCTTAGCAGCCGCCGAAAAGAGTTTTTTCTACATTTGACTGAGTATTATGCTTCTTCTCTAGGTATTGAAAATATGCTACAATCTTGTCTTTCTTATCTGGATGCATTTTATTCAAATGATCTTGCGGTCTTGAATGCTTCATTGCTTCATTCGAAAATGTTTTTAGACATAGAAGGCACAAAGGCGACGATAGGTTTGTGGGATTTTCATTGAATCCTAATTTAATATATTCCGCACAGTATTGCCGTCTCTTCTTTTTTACTTCCGACATTGTTTGTTATTAGTAAGTGTTAAACTTAAGTACTGCTTATCTATTACGCGCGAAACCGCAAATGAAAATAAAATAAATATTACGTTGTTTATATAGGATTGCATAAGCAGCACGCACCGACAGGAATAAGGCAAACATGCAGAAGCTCGTTTATCTCATTCGACGCTCAATCGTACTTAACATGTAAAAACAAGTATTCTATGAACCAGCCGATTGATACAGGAATGCACAAGTCGGGTTATTTAACAAAAACTTGTTAAAACATGATTGCCCGCGGTCTATTATCTACGAAAACTACCTATCTAGGAATACAAATAACTATTAAAATGCGAAACTGTGTCTGTTGCCTTTTTATTTGTTTGTTTGTGTCTAGTTTCATTTAGAAACGGAGCGACCGATTGACATGATTTTTATTTTATTTATACAATAAAACTGGACAGATATATGAACCACACGGAGAGAAATATCGAACCAAGCTGGTTTGAGCAATCTCTTAATTATTATTAGTTGATGTTCACAAGTTGTAGTCGAGAGTTGAGAGCTCAGTCGGTGTCTAAGAGTCTTCCTAGATGAAATGACAAATCTCCCCCTAAGCCTCTACACAAAGCCCCCATTTTTTTCTGGGTCTCTTACCGCCCCCCTTTAGGCCAGCAGCGCCCACAAGGGGGCGTTATCGCCCACTTTGGGAAAGACTGAACTAAATGAACTAGAAGACCGACCTAGTTCAGTTGACCGATTGAACTAACAAGGATCGCTCCCACTGAGGACCGATCAGGCACAAGTCTAGTCTCGAACAGACGTTAATTATGCTAACGCGTCCTCTGTCTCTACTTCCGTCTCACGTGTTCAGTGTACCTATTGAAACCGGGAGTGCTACGAAATGGTGAGGAGTTACTTTTTAAGTGATGAAGTCTACGGGGAGCCCTAAGACTGAACCGAGTAGAAAGCTTTGGGAGTCGAAAACGCAAGGACACACAATCTTCAAACGATTTTAAACCTTCACATACTCAAAACCAGTAACTTGACTTATACTCGGTTAATAAAGGATTACATGACAAAAGAAACACTTGTCCCTGTCCTGTTCTGTTAGTCGTCATATTCAAAATAATATGACGAACCTAAGCTCGTAAAAGTATAAAGGGAAAATTAGCAACTTATGTTTCTTATCAACGACGGTATGCGGTGGCGGGCAGTAGTCCTGCTACTTACTAATCGCAGTCATTTCGAAAACCTTTTCGAATTTCCGACGGAAGCACGACATGGATGCAGGCTGGGTAATAATAATATACCAGATTACCACATTAATAAAAAAAAATCGGGTCTCAAGTTTCTCAAATTGGTCATATCGAAAATCAAATCCGGTACCTCCTAGCACATACAACACAACATAATATCTAGCACAGTACTAACCATTCGGTCGCCGAGGTCGTCAAATTCTATTCTTGTCTCAAGAGTCGAAAATAAGTTCTAATATGGTTCTAATTGTTATGGTGCACAAATCAAAATAAGTCGAATTGGTTATTTTAATTTTCTTCCTAAGTCATGAGAAACAATTACGTAATGTAGATGTTATATATAGTCGCGACGCGCGCGATAAAATTGAAATAAGCGCACGTTATTGGCTATCTAAATTAGATCGGATTGAGACAGCCAATAGCGCGCGCTTATTCCAATTTTATCGCGTGAGTCGCAACTATCATGCGTAGCCATGCTAAGGGGGCTATATGATAAAGGTTATTAAATTTTTAATTTAGCATAATTCGCCTTTGATCCATAGCCTCACTGACCGTGAATACGATCGTGACCGTGATCGTGAATGTTACAGTTGCATTGGCTGGGGTGTGTTATGGGTAGTAGGCCTAAAATTGTAGCCGTATTTTGGGTAAGTTTGTGAGGTTATATCTCGACATTTTTGTCTGGTAGTAGTGGTGATTCTAAAATAAAAACACACGTATGTTCTATTTTCATCAACGATCATAATATTAAAATTAGATTAATGATAAAAAAAGGATCCTGTATATATATATATATATGTCATGACATAATAGTGAAAGGGTTGTAACCCTAACTAGCCGTGAACTGGTTCACGGCAATGAAATGGGAAACTTCCGGTCCACAAAATTTATTAAAGAAGTAAAGTATAAGGAAAGGCTGTAACAATATAAAGGTAAATGTCATTGACTTACAATTATATGGACGTCGGGTCCGCGCTAAAAAGTGTCCGCACTTGTAAGGCGCTAAAATCGTATACAGAGCGCCAAACTCCGCTTTAGTCTTCATTTGTTCGACTGACAGCGCGATACTGCGATGACATTACAATTTAAATTTCGAATAGGTTGACTTGGGACATTTTTTTCGTGGTTTTTGTATTAGACCCGTCGTCGTTACTTGTAAGTCAATGGTAAATGTTAAAAAAACAGGTATAACAGTATAAACCACTCCCTTATTATTACTACACTTTATTATTAAGGCACTTACCCTTAAATGGGCCGAGAAACTGAATTACAGGAATAGATACATGAAGAGCGTAGACTTATAAATTATTACACATGATTCGCTTATTAACAGCTCTGACTGTTGTGGCGGTCGAGCTGGGAGTGACCGTGGTACGAAAACAAAATGAGAAAGTGAAGGAAGATGGAACAATTCAAATTTAAAATTTAAATACAAGTAAAATAAAAAAAAATGATAAGATACAAGAGGAGAGAGGCGATACAAAGAGGTGAGATGACGGTGTAAGGAGGTCACACCGTCACAATGGTAATGCGCCCTTACGACGACAAACTGTCAAGACAATGAACGGGTAGAGCGGGTAGAGCTAGAACGGTTGTCGTCTGACAATAAATAAAAAGTCACGATAAAAATGTAACGACAGATAATCGCAGCTACTATTGTCGTTACGTTTTATTTCTCGTTGTCTCTCTGCAAACGATAAAGTGGCTGCCGTGAAACGGTAAATTGTCGTCACGTCACGACCAAGTGGGAACAGCCAGACAACAGTCATTCAATGATAAAATAATTGTCCACGATACAGTCACGTGGTCACGACAGATAGTCGTGAAATGAGAACAGGCTAAACCCGACAGTCGTTCAACGATGAATAAAATGTTACGACATGATGAGAATGCGCCCTTACCGGTGTTTATATGTCACAGTGATCTGTGTGTTTAATCAAGTTTAATGTAAGTGGCTAAAAAGCTTACCGCGAAGGGCCAAAAGAAATAAGATAAAAAAAATTGCGTCGATCTTTTTTCCATCCTTTAGGGCGTCGATACAAAAGACGATGACAATGACTAAAACCTTTCATATTTTAAACTAAAGATTTTACACGGCTCTTACTGAAATACTGAAGACTAAGGGTCGTATTCCAGAACTCTACTCAATGCTCAAGTCAGGGTCTGAGTACGATTTCAAGCACTGGAAATACGACCGTAATGGCAGGGTAGGGCACTTGGGGGCGGGTCAGAGGACAACCGACTCGCCCCTCCGTTGGCGCGGGAGCCCTGGCGTAAGCTAGGGCGGCCGGGCGGCGTCGTGGTGAATGTTCACTGATCCCACGGCGCCGACTCAACCGGCGAGAGGGAAACCCGGGGGGGTTTTAGTGGGGTAGGCCCTCCAGTCTGGAGGGAGAGTCCCCACATAACCCCTGAGTCTCCATGGGCTCAGGGGTATCCCCCCCCGTCAAAAAAAAAAAAAAGGGTAGGGCACTTGAGTAGTGATTGCGCTAGAACACTAAAAATCATACTCAAGTCTGCTCAAATCCTGACTTGAGCATTGAGTACAGTTCTGGAATACGACTCTTAAACTGAAGGATCTTACACTGAAAACATATCTATTGAAGAAAAAGAGAAAGTAATGACTAGGCAGTATGGTCTCTGACCTTTGCCTGTTCCAAACGGAATGAAAGAAAAAAAAAGGAACGAAGGAAAAAAAAAATCAAAATTTGCTTGCTGGCGGTATGCTGTGATTTGTTATTGTTAGTTTGTTATCTTTCTATTTGTGTTCCATTCCGTGATTTACGGAGGGTATAAGGATCGCGTATTGAAAAAGCATAACAAGAAAAGTATTATCTACAAAAAAAAGCAGGGGCAAAAATGAGTCATGAGATAGAACACTTTAAAAAATACGCATCAGAATACAATCCAATTACAATAGGCTCAATTGATGGTAACCCTGACCAACTTTCACTCCTTTTCGTAATAAAAGGAATTTGTATAATATTCATTGTTCGAATTTATTTGCAGGCACAGATAACCTACCTCACGACCGAGCGATCGCGCGGGCTTTGCGCGCTCGTTACAAGCCCAACAAGCAAGTGAAGGGCAATCCTCGGCACACGGTGTTTATTGGCCGGCTTAATCCTAGAACCACACAGGTGCCTAAACTAAGGCCTCTAACATAAATTTTGTAGTTTTCATGTTTTTGTTAGTGAATATCTAATCTACTTCTGTTGTTTAAGGATACAATTCAATCTGAATTTTCAAAATTTGGAAAAGTCATGTACTGTTGTTTAGTTAAAGACATTGTGACGGGAAAATCTAAGCAATATGCTTTCGTGGAATATGAAACTTCAACAAGTGTGGAAAATGCATTGAGAGAAATGCATAAAGAATATATAGATGGATCGGAAATAATTGTGGAGAGAGAGGCAGAGCGGAGTTTAGTGGGCTGGGTGCCGCGGCGCCTCGGCGGAGGCTTCGGTGGGCGCAAGGAGGCCGGTCAGCTGCGGTTCGGTTGCAGAGACCGCCCATTCCACAAGCCTATCATTATTAAACACAGTAATGAAGGTACTTATTTCTAACTAGACATTTTTATTTTATAATAAAAACAACATTTTATATTTTATTTTGTAATTTCGTAGGAGTCAGGAATGAGAAATAGTTTGGATAACAAAATATTATTAAAATTAAAAATGGTTGACTCTCATTGGCTGTGAGGTGTCAAATTAGAACTACAAAAGGAGAGCATGGCAGTAATATAATTTCAATAATGAAGAAGCTCCATAAATGATGTGTAATGATTGGATAAAGGAATTCAAAGGATGGTGTAAATCGTTTACAAGGACAGAAATCCTGTTGGCTATATTAGAAGCCATTTTGTTAATAATATGTATTGGGTTTTTGATTTTTTTGATACTTCATTTTTTAGTTTGTTCTCACAAACAGCACAATGTCACTTCTACATCTCCTTATACCACCATAACAAATAAAACTACTATCACTGTTGATGATAATTACACACCAGATAAGGAAACACAAACACAGAAGTTTGTGTACATTCACAAGGGAGAATCTTATACAGGTGTTGTAACAATACCACACGGCACGGGAACAGAGAAAATCATATTCATCAATAAGGGAGTACCTTCAGAAGTTGCTGTTGTGCTACCGTACTATGTCACGTCTAAGAATGGAACTGCCGAGGATGGGAGCCGAATAACCCACAAAGACCACGGGAAAGGAACCACTATCAGTGCGGGTACACTAATTGATGAAGTTATACATAAGAAAATATACATCAATAAGGAAGTAGCCTCTGGAAATGCAACTGGTATTGAGATGTCACCATTAGATGGAGTAACGCATAAGATAGTAGTGATCAATAAGGAAATAACACTGCAAGCAGAAGACAGCAAAAACCCACAAAATGATAATTCAACTGATGATGGTGGACCGTCACAAGTTAGTGGAGAATCACAATATACAACTCCTACACTTACGACGAGCGACCTTGAATGTTCCTGGCACCCTTCCGAGAAAACTGTAGCTCCCACACATTATTATTCAAAGGATAGGGTCTCAACATCACCTTATTTCATCAAACGGAAAAAGATAAGCGAGGAAGTGATAAAAACGGACGGCAAAGACGACACGGTCGTGGACTACGCCAGTATGGACACAGCGAGCGATACACCGAACGAGAATGGCCTCGGCGGCTTCGGGAAAGAGCCGGAGCCGACGGGCCTGGACGCTCTGGCCTACGACGACCAGTCGGACGGCGAAGAGTCGCCAGCTCTGTACAAGAGCTTCGTGCTGGCTCTGGTGAAGGTGAGACCTTCCAGGGAGGTGCAGTTCGGCTGCACGCTCACCGCCGTCAGCGCCCGCTGGACGCTGACGGCGGCCAGCTGCGTGGAGGCCATCGAGGAGGTGGACTCGCTGGACGCCTTCGTGATGATGGAGGGCTACGGGGAGCGCGAGCCGGGCCGCACGTACGCCGTGGCCGACGCGCGCGTGCACCCGCTGTACCAGGGCGCCAACCGCAGCCACGACCTGGCGGCGCTGCGCAGCGAGCGGCGGCTGCGGCGCGCGGGCGCGGGCGCGCGGCTGGCCGGGCTCGTGGACTACTACGCGCTCACGGCGGCCGAGCGGCTGGCGGCGCTGGGCTTCGGCGGCTTCCGGTGAGCGGCGCCCGGCGCGCGGCGTTCGCG